GTACTGTGCTCATTACTGTGCTGAGGTGGTTTAGCAACAGAAAAAATAATTTCTCCTCTGCCTCTTTTCAGTGCTCTTAGAAGCATTTTCTGGACAGTGTATAAATGGCATCTTCGTTGAAAGCAAATGTCTTTTTTCCACTGGTCCCCAAATTTGCACATATCCAGGCATTGTGCACCTTTTGATCTGTCACAATAAACTGCTGGACTTGTGCACTACCTGCCTTGTCCCCAGCACTCACAGCCAAAGCTCCCCTGCGAGATCTGCCATGCAAAAGAAATGACAGGCGAGTGGTGCAGCATTCCCTCCTGACAGCATTGTGCTAATTGCCAAACCCAGAGTGCAGTGGGATCTACCCTGAGGAGCTGTAGGGTAAAAGTCCCACCTTCCAGCTCTGTATTCTGTGAGTTCTCATCACTGTGTTGTTGATATCCAAATGTGCTTTTCAGGGAAGACAACAATCAGATGCGTGGTGGTTATGAACACCAAAAATGCATGCAAAGTGTAAGTTGAGGGTTGGTTTCTTTTTACTGACTTGCATGTGGACATTATTTTTTTATGCCTATTAAATCAATGAGTAGAATTTGAACTGAATGTAAAAAAGATTTCCTGAAAGAGGCCAGGGTGTCCTAGCCTTCTGATCTTGGACATCTTACTTCCTGCCCTATAAAGCATAGAGACAGAAAAAGAAAGCTATATTATATGTAAACCATGGCCTCTGCCAGAGGGGTATCTCCTGGTAAATTAAGAAAGATCAGAAGTGTCGTTAAATGTGCAGAGGCTCATGATAATCTCAGAAACACTGGCTGCTGTTAACTGTTTTATAGGAGCCCTTCCGCACCTGATATCCTTCCATCCAGTGAGAGACAGAAAGATGAAGGGAGTAGGATGGGAGATTTCCAATGCCAGTTTTGCACATATATGCAGTACCAGCATACTGCTTTCTTCCCCTGTCCTGGACTCCAACCATAGCCCCACTTTTCCTGCTGTGCTCTTGGCTGGACAAGCTGCAGGCGCAGACAGGCCTGGCTGGGGACAACCTCTTCAGGCAGGAAGGTGCAGCTGCACACACCTTAGTGCCTTAAAGATTTACAGCAACTCCCCCATTTATTTCCATTTGTTTTTCATAAAGTATGAGACAGACTCCAGCAGATACAGCCAGAAACCTAAGATGAACTAAAAGAGACTTTCAGAACAAATTTCAGGTGACAGACAGATGGTCAGGTACAGCAATAAGTGGTACAGGACAAGTACCAAAGAGTCAGGTTGCCTTTATTAGCGGCTCCACAAAGAGGGAAGTTCTGCCTCTGTGCCAAGGACAAAGAACATAATTAACTAGCAGGACTGCTTAGCTCAGTGCTGTAGCAAATCCACAGTGGGTTTTAGGTCTGTGCTGAATCCGTGGGAGGGATGGCCTCTAAGCTGTCTGGGATGAGCTACAGCGAATGGAGCAGCAATGCCAGGGAAGGGGATGTTGTTAAATATACAAGAGGGAGCTCTCACAACAGCAAGACATTACAGGAAAAAAAGAACAGCTCATCCCTCAGACACTGCAGTGAGCAAACACACACCAGTGTGGGGCTGCCTGCCACTGTGAACCCTTCTCTTTCCTGCTGCTCACTCCATGCTTTGGGATTTTCCTCCTTTCCAGCCTTGGTGTGAGCAGCACACATCATCTGCTGATGAGCCTCTGACAGCAGCAGCAGCAGCAGCAGCAAAGAGAGTCTGGCAGCAGAACAGCCCCTGGGACCCAGTGAGCCTGAGAGGAGACATAGGCTGGTCAGTGAGAAAAACACACAGCCATGAGAAGGAGATGGCAAAGGATGTTTGTCCTGGTTTCAATCAGGTAGAGCTAATTCATTCTCAGTAGCTGTCACAGTGCTGTGTTTTGGATTCGGGATGAGAATGGTGTTGATGACACACTGACATTTTGGTTTTTTGCTGAGTTGTGTTTATCCTAAGTCAAGGACTTTGTTCTTGTCTCCTGCTCTGCCAGTGAGGTGGTTCAGGAAGGAAACTGGGAGGAAGCACAGCTGGGGCAGGTGATCCAAACTGGGTGAAAGGATATTCCACATCATGGAATAACAATCTCGGTTGGGGAAGGCTGGTCTGGCATCTGTCAGCATGTCGTGGGCAAATGCATTGTACATCACTTGTTTTTATTATCATTATTATTATTATAATTTACCATTATTACTGTATTTTACTTTATTTTCAATTATTAAACTGTTCTTTTTTCAACATACAAGTTTTACCAGTGTAGGAGGGGGAGGGAGGGGGACACTGAGTGAGTGGTTGCATGGTGCTTAATTTCCAGCTCGGTTTAAACAATGATTACATAATAATGCATTATGTAATATACATTAAATGATTACATATGCAATATACATTAAATGATTACATAACAATGCTCCTGCTCGTTCTATTTTCAGAGGAAATACACGATTGCAAAATGAAGCATAACAGCTGACAAAATAAAATCCCTCTCCTGCCTGAAAACGCTGTCCTTACTACAACTGTAACCTCCCTGTTAGTGACTGAAGAGACCTTTTCTTTTCAAAAAGATTTAACACAACTTGTAACAAACCCAGTCTCGCTGTTTTCTCTCATATAAGGCAATCACTTGGGAACAGAATGCAAATAGTGACACATGCTTCAATAAGTTATGTGTTAAACTCAAAGGACTGATCACAATACTTGAGGAGTCCCTGAGACTGAGAACTTGGTGACAGAAAATCAGATAAACAAGAGGGAGCATATAGCAAGAGAAACTACCTTTTTTCAGATAGAAGCTATTAAATCAGAAAAAACTGGCACAAGAAGGTCAAGAGTAGGAGGAGTTGATACTACTTTCAGTGAGCTTTCTGTAAAATTTACATTAAAATTACAATTATCTATGTAGGGTTTATGAGAGGACTAAAACCAGGACTTCTGATAGCTCTAAGAAATAGCAGAAGTACTGCAGTTTTGCAATAGATTTACAGGCAAAACGTTATGATGATACATTTATGGATGCACAGGTGAAGAAACCAGGTAATAGTTAAAATAAAAACCAGAATGAATGAGCATCTACAAATTCAAATTAAGAATTAAGATGAATGGGATTTGACAAAACATAAGAGGCCTTATAGCCAGGAGACAATATTAAACTCATAGGTACTCTTACAAGGTAGAACCTAAGGCAAACCTCAAGTTAACCAGCTTCCGACAAGCTCCGGACCTCCAAACCATCATGGATGCTATGCATTAAAGGGTGTCTTCAAGGATTGTTTCCATAGATCATGGTCAGAATCTCCATGTTACTTGTGAGCTAATTGATTTTTCTTATCAAATATTAATCCTCTTCCTTGAAGCCGTAATGGAAGAAGAGCTCTCCTCTTTCTCTGTCTGGCTTGGTCTGGTTCTTGCCCCATAATTGCTGTGAGCAGATGAGGCTTCTGACACATAGCTTTTTCTTAATTTTTTGTCTCTCCCTTCTCTGTTTCCAATGCAAGCCCACACCTCGTCTACTCCATAAAGACTTGTTACTGGATAGGTGATGGAAATAACAACACCCTTCAGGTGCAGTGCTCCCAAATGATTTCTTGGATCATAGGTTTTTATTCAGTCATGCCTATGAGTTCTGATTCTCTCCTAGGAAGCTCTCACAACAGCACAGACACCAGAGCTGCTGACATGCAGATTCAGGAGCAAGTATTTTGCCTGGCCATGTTCTGAAAGTTATCTTTAATGGATGAGACACCTAAAGTATTTTTATGCCAGGCCCTTTCCTCCCTAAAGAAGGCCTAAAGGTTCTTCTAGACATGTGGTAGCTTGAGTCTGGACAGACACGCATGCCATTATTACAAATCTCTCATGAGTATCTGACCTCCCCATCACTGGTGCTGTATCCTCGTTCTCAAATCAAACTCACTCCAAGTCCACGCTCCAGGTCACTTATGAGCTGGTGCTAAAAAGGGGGGAAAAAGAGTAAAATTCAAAAAGTGAATGAATCATGACACATCAAATTCACACAGCCTGTTAGCCAAAGATTGAAAGGAGGGAGGGAGAAATATGTCATAAATGTAGAAAATATATATAATCTATTTTCACATATATAACATGGAATATTATACAATATATATAATGATAGATATTCCCATATATATACACATATATATACAGAAAAAAAATACAGGGAAAACAAAGCACTTCTGAAGGAAAAAATTGAAAGCGTGTGTCCAGACTCAATATGCAAATGAATCCAGTATCTCCAAGCCATTATTTACATTGCAGAATGCTGATATGTATTGTTCCTTTCTATCCCTTTGACACCACAGTGAGTTTTGTCCAGCATATTAGTATTTTTATAAGCACTGTGATTGCAACAAAGGCTCCTGAAGAGAACACAAACATCACCAGTGGCACAAACATGGCTTAGAAGTGCTACAAAGCCTGGTACAGAATGGAGATCTGCTGCTGCTGTCCCCAGCAGTGTTGGGACATATCCCCACCTCAGACCTGCAGATCACTAGCAAAGCTCTAACACTAGTTTTCAAATCAAATCAATCACACACACAGTATACATGTTATAAATATATATATACAAATCTTATACATATATATATATATACAGATTATACAAATCTTATATATACCTACAAAATTTATATATATATATATATATATATATACAGACATAAACATCTATATAAATGTTATTATTATCCAGACACTTTCATTTCTGCTAAATGTTGTTATAAAACATTCTTGTTTGGTCAAAAGAATTCCTTTCAAGAGCTGGTTCTTAGTGTACTGCGTTTAGCTGGGAAAGAGTTTGCTTTGTGCACAGGAGCTGAAACAGTGCTGTGCTCAGGTTGGTGAGGAGAACAGTGCTGATAACACAGCCACACTTTAGCTAACTAGAGAGAAGTCCCATGCCATGTGGCATCATGTTCAGCAAGAAAGCTGGGGAAGGGTTTCTTCCAAGTTTTTTCCCATTGTCTGGGATTAGGTGAACATTGTTCCGTGGATGGTCAGTGATTGCTTGTGCATCACTTGGTGGGGTTTTTTCCTTAGGTTTTTTTTTTTCCTTTTCACTTATTTGTCTGTCTGTATCTCAACCCACAAGGTTTTGTGGGTTTTTTCCTCACTTTTGCCCTTCTGATTCTCTCCTCCATCCCACTGGGAGAAGTGAGTGAGCAGATAGGTGGGGGTTCACCTGCTCTCAGGGTCTGCCCAGCACAGCCAGGTAAGGACGTGTTGGCAGCATGTAGCATCCTCTGCACATAAGGTAGTAATGGTAATAGTTCATTCAGCATTCTCCATACCTGTGGCCCAAGGAAGGGAGAAATTACAGGGTAGGGCAAAATAAAAACTTCTACATGGCAGCATAAATGATGTCTAAAGTAACAGCATTTATAAAAATGGACTTTGGGATACCTTGTAGGCTGACTCTGTTCACAAGTCAGGTGCTCCTAAAATTACTCCTAAAATATCCTTATATTTCAGTACATATTGTTGAAAAACTTTTTTTTAACATCACATTCCCGGCTGTGCATGAACCTTTGACCCACTGACATAGGAGCGTGAAGAAACTCCTGGAGGCACAAATCCTGCTTCTGGCTTTGAAGGATGGACAGCCATGGCACAGTCTTGTTCACATACTTCGCAAGCTCTGTTTAAGACCAGGTAAGGCACTGGCCTGCACAGGTGCCATTGTGGGGTTTGCTCTTTGTGCCTCATTTGGGTAGAAAATACTCTTCAAATGAGAAGAGAAATATACTTACCCTTTTGATCATACAGGAGCTTTGGAGGAGGGGTTGTGGATTTTTTTCCTTTTCATTGCCAGGGCCCTCCTCTTGTGATAAAGAGGAACCTCTAATTAACACTTGGCTGGTTCCTATTGATCCATTTGTAACAATGCTCCCTGCTCCCTTCAGAGACTGCTCTTCCCTGTGTCTTATATGAGACACTTCCACCAACACACCTTTAGAGATACCTTTTTTTCCCCAGAACATCATATTTTGGACTCCTGATCAGTTTATGATGTGTTACAAACCAATTTCTTCCATGCTGGTGCTCCCACACTGTATTTACCATCTGATTCCTTCCTTTCACATGGACAGTCTCATTTCCCATTACAAAATTCCCTCTTTCTGACTGACGTAAATTCCTCCGGTTTATCCCACTGTTTCCAATCGGCTCCTTTCCCATCAGAATCCTCCCGACCCCTTCCCGCCTTGGCTCAGCCCTGGGGGAGGCCTGGGCAGCAGCAGCTCCAGTCCCAGTACCGGCCCTACTCCCAGCCCTAGTCCTAATCCCAGCCCTGGCCCCAGCCCTGGTTCCAGTCCTTAGTCCCAGTCCCCACTCCTACCCCATTCCCAGCCCCAGTCCCCACTCCCAGCCCCATTCCCATTCCCATTGCCAGCCCCAGTCTCCAGTCCTCAGTCCCCAGTCCCAGCCTCATTCCCATTCCCATT